ATTGTTTTTAAGAAACTAGATGCCATTTAAAAGCTAGACTGTATATGAAAGATGGATGTGGCAACTGAAATGTTTTTGAAGACTCAAGCTAAGCATTTTAAACCAGAGTTATTATAAAAACTAAACCAAAAAGAAGTGAAAAAGCATTTTAATTAAATTAAATAGAGGTAAAAACTAAAGTCACTTTTTAGACCCAGAAGCTAAATCTAGTATTTATAAACAGTCTATGAATACTGTCTAACACAGTGGTCCTCAACCTTTTTTTGCACCACGGACCGGTCTTTAAAGGTGTCACAGATAAATACAACAAAATAAAATGATACGACCAAGACAAAAACTGTTGTATTTTGTAAATATAATAATAATTGCAAATTCACTGTAACGTTTTTAGTGGCGTCCTCCTGAAATGCGCCAACAAAATTGAGTGTAACATTCTCCACTCTGCCCCTTAATGCTCTCTGGTCGCTATGGTAACAGTCTGTGGCCCGGGGTTTCGGGACCACTGGTCTAACCTATTCTGTTGCATATGCTGCATAAAATAGCACTATCCGGTCTTAAAGTCTGATGTTATTAGTCATGTTTGGGCCCAAACTCTGCTGCAGGTCCCAAAGTCAAACGAACAACGCGGCATCACTGAGAGTTGAAAAACTGTCTAAATTCTTCAATCTGTAATAATATGATGGCTGCTTTACCAGGTGTAAAAATTAAGTTACCAGGCATCCATGAAAACAGAATTTATTAAATTTAACAGAGTTAGAAGTTAGCAGGGAGTTAAGCTCGCTAGTTTCCATCTCAATATAATATACCATGACAGAGATTTCTGAAAAAAATTAAGACGTACAGCCCTGCTAACACTTCCGATATAAATGAAGTCAGGGAAGTAAACAGCAGTGACGTTTGTAGGGTTACTGAAGTTGGGCTAGCTGGTATATAATGATGTGGTACATGATCGCTAGCAACACAGCAATGTTAGCATAACATAAACACAGTGAAGCTAGAGGATGAACGCTAACATTTTTCCACTCAATAAAAGTTAAGTTGAGGGTTCCAGATGGTTAGGGACAAAAGAAATCGCATGGCAGGCTGTTGTAAACAGACCAAACTTCAGTCAGGAGAACAACTGAGATAATCGATCCACAATACGAGGTTAGTCATTAATTTACTGCTGCATGAGCTGGGCTGTAGTTACTACGTATGGTTTTAAAAACGGAGCTTTAAAATGAATAGCGGTAATAAAAACCGAGAGAGGCCGATCGTGATCACTGACTGTTTTTAGGACTTAAATAGGACAAGATACAATCATTTTGACATCTATGATTATTATTCCTTACATTGAGGTAAAAATAATTATTCTTTCACTGATAAATTAGCAAACTGCAGCAAAAGAAGTAGACAAATGCTTAGGAGGACTTGACAGCGCTAGTTGTGGGCTGCCAAGCTACATGTAGTTACATCTCCAGCGAGGTGCATAGTGTAGGTTATGTCGTAGGGTTTCCATGGGTTTGCGTATCTGTGCCAGTGATTTGAGACAGAAGCATAAATCCTTTGTAAGGCAAAAGTAATGTAACAAATAGTGTAACAAATTACTTTCTTCAGAGAGATGTATTATGTATGGAGAAACATTTTTTCTAATTGCTGCATAGTGGACAGCTTTCTGTATTGAGCAAAAAGAAACTCATCTCATCGATCAGTGGATATTACAGTCACACTGTAGTTAGGACCATTTTATATATGCTCTGGTCAAAAGCTTACATGCAATCATTATGGGGATGAAATTCATGATAAATTTGAGCTTTTAATGATTTCCTTGAACACTTCTTTTTCCAGGGTGCAATGACTGCACAGCATACATCTTTAAGGACTTTAAAAAACAAAAGCTGGGTGCACAAGTCTGAATTAATTTAGGATTTTCTCTAATCCACACATGGTCAAAAGTATACATACATCCCCACATGGTTAAATATCACCTTAGGAAGGTGCACATCAACCAGATGTTTTTGGTAGGCATCAACAAGATTCTGGTATAATTCTGGCTAAATATTTGATCCCTCTATTTGGAAGAATTGGGAGTTGATTTAAATTGATTGGTTTCCTGGCACTGACCCAGCTTTTAGGCATAGTCCACAGATTTTCATTATGGCTGAGGTTTATCTTTGGGAAGGCTATTCTGGCAGCTTCATGTTCACCTGCTTTATCTATCCCAAACCATTTTTGATACGTGTTTGGGATCATTGTCCTATTGGAAAACCCAACTGTGTCCAAGTTTCAACTGTCTAGCAGTTGGTTTGAGGTGACATTGAAGAATTTGTAGATAAACCTCCGTCATTATTATTACATGAACCAGTACCACTGGCAGCAAAACAGCCCCAAAGCATGATGCTACCACCGCTACCGTGATTGACAGATGTTAGTGTTCCTAGGCTGGAATGCGTCACCTTTAAGGCCCCAGTACAGGGCTTTGGAGCGTGATGTCACAGGGGTGGGCGTGGACAGGATTTTGACCTGATGCGCCATTTTCCGGGTCCAAACAAAGCGCAAGCGAAAAAGGACCGAAGGCACACACACCAGCCAGGGTTCGTACTTGCTGTGTGGTCGGTTGCAATGTTCGATCGCTGGAATAAGCTTAAAAAGGGTTTGCCTTTTTATTCTTTCCCAACCTGGAAGCAACATGAGGGAGTTTATATGGCGGACCTTACAAAACGAAGGCGTCTAGCCTGGATAGCAGCCGTGAGACGAGCTTTTATCCAGTTCACTTCCATCTCCAGATATCTGTTGGTGTGCTCCAGACATTTTCACTCCAGTAAGTTCTATATATGTACATATCACTCTTTATAGCTTAATAATATTATTGTTGGGGCTCTCGGAGGTTATAGAAATTGTGAACAAACATAGAATTGAGTGACTGTGCAGACATACGTGCTATGTAACGATTCGCTAATTATTTCGCACAACTGTAGGGAAGCCTGCCTATGAAATGGATCAAACAAATCCAGACTGGGTACCAACGCTACACATGGGGCACTCCGAAATCCGAACGTGAGGGTTAGGGTTAGGGTTAACAAAATAAGTGAAGATATTGTGGTAGGACAGTGGCGGTAAGTTGTCTGGGTCTTTACTCCACTGCCGTATTTCATATAGGTCCACATTTGCGGTGCACTCTATTTTTTTTCAAGTACCGCTGCTTCGCCTCTGGAGGCAATCGGTATCTATACCGTCTGTTTTCTTTTGAGCTGCTTTTAAGCATGTTTCTTGTCGTTGTTGTTCCAACACAGTGTGTTTGTTTTGATTTGTGGACCTGGAAAATGGCGCCGCGCTCCCACAATACATTGCGGCGTGACGTCAACTCCAAAGCCCTATACTTGCCACCACAACATTGTCTCACACTCACTTGTTTTTATACGCGCTGATGCAGTATTCTCCTGAACACTAGGTGTCGCCACTCAGACGATAGCGCATCACATGAGAACTGATATAGGAGAAGAAGTACATTGTTGAGTGTTTTTTTCCACAAACTCAAGTGTTGACTCTCAAACTGTTTCACCATCTCCCTCTGTATATTTGTACGCCTCTGAGCTTCTGTACTGGAATATTAATATGGCAGTAAAAACCAGCACGATTGCAGACTCTTGTCTTTAACCCAGCTGTGGCACCCACAGTACAACGCACCATGTTAAAAAAAATCGAGATGTGCATGACCAGCCATAGCGCCACAGGATGTGATGTCAAATCTGGTAAGTGACACACAGAACAGAGCAAGCATAATGGTGCATTACTCCTAAACATACTTGCTGTCATTGTAGCTGAATAGCTCAATCTTTATTTCATTTGACCATTAAGTTTTTCTCCAGAAGCCATTTCACATGCCAGTGACTCTAATACAAATATGCCAAAAAGACTGGATGGATGACATTTGGCTTGTCCATGTGAGTAGCTGCAAACTTTAGTCAAGCTTGAAGGCGTCGATTCTGCGGCAGGGGCTTCATTTTTGCTCAGTACCCTGTCACTTAACAGCGATGTAAAACTCATTTCAGTATACGACACTGCTGTTCCAGAAGTTTCCAGTTCACGGCAGCCTTGAGCCTTGGTGGTTCCTGGGTTGTCCCTGAACATCCTAGCCAATTTCCTATCAGCTGAGGGTGATAGTTTGGACTTTCTCACTATTCTGAGTATTGGTCAGTCCAATAAGTACTGTCAAACGAATCTTTTTTTTCCTTTGCAAAGGGAAACTGTTAGCTGTAGTGAATAGTGATCATTAACAAGTTAACAGACCATGATCTTGTCAATTTAACACTGTAAACCTTCACTTATTAAAAGGTGTAAGTAAATGTATGCATATAATATTTAAACCTGTATGGATACTTTTGTGTGTGTGTGGATTGGAGAAAACCCAAAATAGATTCAAAGTTGTGCAACCAATTCTTGTTTTTTTAAAGTCCTTACAGATGTATGCTGTAAAACCATTCCACGTTGGAAAAAGAACTATTCAAAAAAATCGTTAAAAGCCCCATGACAATCATGCTATGATAAGTACATGTAAACTTCGGACCACAATTGAATGCATGTTAGTGCACCTTTTTAAGCACATTATATCATCGATTTCGCAATCATGCAAACAAATAACAAAGCACTTGGCGCATCATGCTTACAAAGACTCTTTTTAAAGCCTGCTGTGGTATTTTCCTACAGGGGACCCATAGTTTGGATTTGCTGTATCTGCAAATCACCGTTACAAATACTCTTCGTGATTATTGAGCCCAATTTGCAGAAAAAGGAGCACAACAAAAATGTAGAAATAAATAGAAAAATATCTTTCGCTTAAAATGACCACACTGGCTACTCAACATAAATAAGTTTCCGTCATGTATGAAAAAAATACAGCACACCAAGGAGCTAACGGGATGAGGGAAAATGTCCGTAGCTACAGAGCGGGGAGTAAGCTAGCACCGGGCGCTAGTTAGTGAGTTTGTGTTGTATAAAGTGGTGAGTTTAAGCTGGGTTACCTCTCGCTGACCAGTACCACGTCGGCATCGCTCCAGTGTTTGAACACACACGGTAGGATCTTCCTGAAGGCGAAGAAGAGACCGGGGAAAACTACGGCGCCACACGCTAAAACTTGCAACATCCTGCTCATATTTTCCTCTCTAGCCGCCCGGACACCTGACTCTCTCTCTCCCCTCCGCGAGCTTCGACCGTTTACACGCGGCTGTGAGGCATTTTTCACGCGGCCGGGTTCGGCGTCTTTCACCGGGAACAGTCCACCATCAGCACACACACTCGCACATACTCACACACTCACACATACTCCGCCAAGGCTCAGCAGCAGCAGCAGCACCAGTGTTGAGCTAACGGCAAACAGATGTCAACTACCCGTGGAGAGTTTCAAAATAAAAGGCTTGACCTGCGTGTTTCCCCTAGCGGAAGCGGTAATATCGCGACACAAACCCCACTAGGCTTTTATTTTGAAGGTCATTCTTTTCGCAGCATTTACGGTAAATTTAACAACATGGAATTTAACAGTGTTTTATTAAAATTGCGGCTTGTGTTTTCAGCTTAACTTAAATATAGATATTAATGCCTTTGCAGCTGTTGTGTATGTGTTATAGCACATAGACGAACTACCTCCTTTAGCGAAAGTAGTCATACAACATAATCAGTAGTTGCGTAAGCAGGCATTCAATTTTTTGTTTCTCCACTTGGGGGCAGTGCAAGTGTTATATCATCACCAAGTTTGTGTGACGGATGTGTTATGGAGCACTTGTCAGCAGATAGAGCTAAATTATCAGATAAGTAAGAGACGTGTGTAGTATTCGCCCTCGGCTGAGCGACTGAGTAAAGCCATGTGTGGCATTTAAATTGTCCTCTGTGCTCAGCAGCTCGTCAGTAATTTGTTGCTGCTGAAAGCAGCCTTCTGCCATTGGAAATAAGGGGTTATGTAAATGATGAAAATCCTTCAACAGCAAATTAAAAGAGGTTAAAGAGCCATGGGGCTTAGAAAGAGAGATAGAGAGAAAACCTTCTGCCAATGAATTAACACCGGTGACTCTGTCTCTGTATCTGTCCACCTCTCATCTGAGGTCATCAGTCTCAGATACTGCTATCAGCTGTCAAGTAAACACTCTCTTTAAAGTCAGTTAACCTGACTTCGCTGAGCTCTGTCAGGTAGTGTCTGATAGCTGCTTGTAGAGTGTCTGGCATTGAGATTTTTATCTAATGCTTTATTTCTGTGTGTTTAACTAGTGCAAACAGTGGTGGC